CAGTAGTTTCCTTTTGAAAGGATATTTCTCCGATTAGCGTTTGTCATGGTGCAAATGAAACGTCGATGTGTGGATATATGACCGTGAAAAATTTGCTGATGAAAACATGGCCGTGAATCTGTCTACTTATGTAAACTTATGCTATAAAACAAAATTAACAATAAAAAAAAGTGAAAGAAAGAAAAGGAAACTTGAAAAAGCAGTGGTTGCAATATTATAACGTTACTATTGGTAAAGATATTTTAATTTAAAATTTATTATTGATTGATACTATGATCTTGTGGTAAAATTCATTATTAATTATTGTATATTAAGATACAAGTTATTGATGTTATATTATATTGTAATATTATAATATTATGATATTATGATTTTACCAAATTAGTTGGTGAAATATTATAATATTATAAAATCAGTTATGGAAGTATTATAATGCTACAAAATTATTATTCATTAATATTATACTATCATGAATTTTACATTAATCAAAATAAATTATCAAAATTTTTGTATGATTCACTTTACATTTCCTTCAGCTTTATTTCAGCAAAAAGAGAAGAAAGTTACACTGCTGAATTTTGTTCAAATAATCAAGTAATCAAATAATCAAAATAATCGAATGCAAATCAATAATCAAGTTCAAATAATCAAATTGTGTTGAAATATTAATTTTTAAATATTTCAATAATACCTAAAAATGGTCCCTAATTAATAAAATATTTTTTTACACTCATCTTGAACGATTTTTTGAGAATTGACTTATAAAAATAATTGGAGACATCTATCAGTTCTCTGAAATTCGCCCCTCTGAATATATGGCCATGCACGATGCAAATGACCATCCTTCACTTATATCGAATCTTGGAACGTAACAACCAAAACTCTGCATCAATACAACTTGAGACGCAAAAGATTCATGTAACAAGCGTGCCAAAAAACGTGGAACCTTCGAGGAAAGTTCCTCGATGATATTCGAAAGGCACGACGAGAAAAAAGGATTCGTTGTAAGGAAACAGGCGGAGAAAGTCCATCGGCGAGGAAGAACTGCGTTTCCATTGAACTTACTCGAAAAATAGAACGCAACACGTCTCGATTAGAGTGAATAACCTGGACACACTGGCGTAATTTTGCTTTCGTTGTACGAAATTTCTGGTTGCGCCAATGTGTGCACCGGAAAAGTGAATTAACTTGAGGCTCGTGCGATATGCAGGAAATAAGGCATTCACTGGAAGACTTCGACGCGTTCGTACATTTGGGAAATCATGTAGCATAACGTCATTGTGTAATGAAATTAGACTAAAATTTCTTTTTTGTTGTAAAATGATATTCGATACATTTTTGCGAAATTTTCAATAGATTTTCTATTTGTAAAATAATAGGGAGAGTGTTTTTAGTCTGGTGATACAAAGAGGGGTCTACATGAAAAGATGAACTAAAAACATTTCATACAGAATTTCGTTTTATAAGTAAGTGAATAAACGTATCTCAAGAAAGTTTAATTCCTAAAAACAAATGATCTTCAATAATTTTTTTGCACAATATTCAATATATCTTCAATTTGTAAAATAATAAGAACAGTGTTTTTAATCTTGTGATGCAATGAAGGGTCTACATAAAAAAATAAACTAAAAATATTAGCACATATACAATTTTGTTTTATAAATTATCCTGTAAACATATTTCAAGAAACATTCCTAGAAAAATGTAAAAAATAAATTACTACTCCATAATAGAACGTTATATCATTTTCTATAGCCTGAAGGTTAGGCTAAGATTTATTTAGTAGAGGTTGGGTTAAGTTTTATTTAGTAGAGGTTAGGTTAAGTTTTATTTAGTACAGGTTGGGTTAAGTTTTATTTAGTAGAGGTTAGGTTAAGTTTTATTTTGTAGAGGTTAGGTTAAATTTTATTTAGTACAGGTTAGGTTAAGCTTTATTTTCTGGAAGTTAGGTTACGTTTTATTTCGTAGAGGTTGGGTTAAGTTTTATTTTGTAGAGGTTAGGCTAAGTTTTATTTCGTAGAGGTTGGGTTAAGTTTTATTTTGTAGAGGTTAGGCTAAGTTTTATTTCGTAGAGGTTGGGTTAAGTTTTATTTTGTAGAGGTTAGGCTAAGTTTTATTTCGTAGAGGTTGGGTTAAGTTTTATTTTGTAGAGGTTAGGCTAAGTTTTATTTCGTAGAGGTTGGGTTAAGTTTTATTTTGTAGAGGTTAGGCTAAGTTTTATTTCGTAGAGGTTGGGTTAAGTTTTATTTTGTAGAGGTTAGGCTAAGTTTTATTTCGTAGAGGTTGGGTTAAGTTTTATTTTGTAGAGGTTAGGCTAAGTTTTATTTCGTAGAGGTTGGGTTAAGTTTTATTTTGTAGAGGTTAGGTTAAATTTTATTTAGTAGAGGTTAGGCTAAGTTTTATTTCGTAGAGGTTGGGTTAAGTTTTATTTTGTAGAGGTTAGGCTAAGTTTTATTTCGTAGAGGTTGGGAGTAGAGGTTGGGTTAAATTTTATTTAGTACAGGTTAGGTTAAGCTTTATTTTCTGGAAGTTAGGTTACGTTTTATTTAATGGAGGTTGGGTTAAGCTTTATTCCGTACAGGTTAGGTTAAGTTTTATTTACTTTGCCAAACAAAAATAGAAGATAACTTGTTCAACAGGGATGATTTAATTATATTCTATATTTTATTTCTCCAATTTTTCTAATTTTTTTGTTCAATTCTTTCAATTAATATTTCAGTTGCATTCCTTGCACTCTCTAGCGCGCATTCTTGCTGCGTGCTTCATGCTATTACCTATTCCGCCCAGTTTACTTTGCAGAACTAATAGTAACAGATATTAATTTGTTCAAACCGAGAAAATAAGATGCTCGTACGAAACACCGGAAGCAATTTACTGAAAAGTGTTAAGTCTTTAATCGGCAACATTAGAGATCAGTTACATGTATTTTTTGTGAAATAATTGTATGAAATGAAAGTTCATACATATATGCCAATGATATTCGTGCAAGAATAAGGAAGATGGCATGTGAAACACAAACGGGTAAAATATTATTACACTGTCGTTTTTAATACACATATATGGTGTCCCAGTTGCAAGTCAAAATAAAGATAAAAAAAGAAATAAAAATAACAGTAAAAATAAAAATAAAAATAAATATTCTTTCTTACATCGTTTATTAGAAGAGTAACACAGAAATAATAAGTGCAATCAGCTGCTTTCTTGTTCGATACCATACAGGAATTAATTGGCAATTTACGTCATAATTCCGCTTCAAAATGTCGGTTATTATGAACTACATCTATGGAAAACTATGAAGGAAAAAGTTTGTCAAGCACAAATTAATACTCGACATGACGAGTTGTGTTTGTACTGTTTCTTTCACAGTTCCCAGGTGCACTAATACCTGGAGGAATTAACGTAGAGGATTTATGGCATATTTACTGCAATCAAGGGAAATGAAGAAATTAATAATGCATTGGATTCTTTTCGTAGAATATTATGCAATGAAATATGGACCGTTCTTATCTCTTTGCGTTATCTAACAAGGAAACGTAGAAAGTGTAGATAGTCTGAGTAAGTTTGGTGTAGTTTTTGGCGCAGGCAGCAATATTGAATAGTGTATCCTGCAAGTATAGAAAATAACATAAGAATGGTAAAACATTTTCTTTCGAGTAGCCAAAAACTATTCTCACAGATATCTTTTTTCGTTGGGATAATGATCATAGCAGTCGAGGCCCATATAAAATCAATCAATCAATCAATCAATCAATCTTCTTTCGCAAGAAAGGACTTATTTACTAAATGTCGGTATTGAAGTTCGTCGTTTTTTCGAAGTTTCGAATTGTTTAAAATTAATAATAGTTTGGTAAAGACAAAACATTCTGAAGTTAATTAGTTTTACACTACGATTTGATGCATATTATAGTAAATTAAGTCAATAAAATCAGTATTAATTAAATTAAAAAAAAAAATAGGACAAGTGGCGCCATCTCTTCGGCGAACAGGGTGAACTACACACTTTTGAAACTGAAGTTTAATTAGTTCTCGTCTTCTACCGCTAGATGGCGACACATGAGTCTTAGCGCCCTCTAGCGGCAGTTTGGGAACTAATTAAACTACAGTTTCAAAAGTGTGTAGTTCACCCTGTTCGCCGGAGAGATGGCGCTACTTCTTCCATTTCATAATAATTCAATTATTACTGTTTTTTTTATTAATATGCTATGTATTTATTATTTATTTCAATAAATGCGAAGTTAATAAACTGCTATAACATTTGAAAATAAGTAAGAAATAATTCTATATTAATTATTGAAGTAAAATATTCAAGAAAGTGCATCTTCAATTTTTTGAATAAATGACATTGTGTTAATTGCACATCTTAAAAATTTTAAACACAATATTTTTCTACAGTGAATCCTTCTTAAAACTCACTAATATTTACAGGAACCTTACCACCTAAATTTAGGTAAATTTTATAAAAGTCTCACAATAAAGTTCTTGTGTCATATTCATCTCAACACGTCCTCCGCAATGTGTTGCACACTTGACAATTTTGTTAGAAACTATTTTAAACAAACCTTCATATTCTTAACATTTATTAATATTAATACAAGTATTTCCAATGAGATCAAGCAGTTAACACAAATATCTCAATCAGATAAGTGAACAAATCCCAATGAAATCTGTCATCATCAGATACCCAAGAAAATTTAAACGTCATCCAAGTGTGGGCAGTCAAAGGGTTAAAATAGAAAATGATAATCCTATAATTCAACGATGTAAAGTTTGTTCCGAGAAATGTCAGTGCAAGTAACCAGGAGAAAAGCCGAGTGGTAGTTGAAAGGCGTGGTAGAAGATCAGAGTGCAATCTGCATTATTGTAGAGCCGGGGCGCGCGGGCGGCCATCAAGGTCTTTTCAGGTCAACGTGATCCAATGTGCCATATAAAACGCCCCTCTCGATGATCCTTCGAGCACTGTTGTACTCCTCGTCGACCCTGGTTGTCGTTGTTCCTGCATTATGGATGCCATGTTCGTAAGTACTCACTTTCGATTTTATTCGAAACACTCCGCACCGCATTGTTCCATTCGATCATCGAGATTACTTCTGCTTTGTATTTGTTACACTCCTCCGATACGGTGTAACAAGTTTTATTGTTCGGACTGCCATTGATTTAATCATCTTTTACTGTATATGCTTTGTTCAAGTATTATAACGTAGTTTTATTATATTATAACATAATAGTAACTTATTAAAGAGTAAGTGATTATTTTAATTATTACTAGCAATTTAATGATTATTTTGACAATGATTTCAATTTTTGATTTTCATAATCAACTACAGAAATTCAATTACAAAGTCAAATGTAAATAAATTAATTTATGAAATTAATATCATAATATAAGTTAATGGAGTCATCTAAAGTTTAAGTTTAAGACTTTATGATTTTCTAAAATTGTGGTTAATAGTTACAAATTTGAATGTAGCTGTTGTGCATTGTGACACTAATTTTGTGTCAGTCAACGAATGGTCAGTACCAGCCACCACAACAGGCAGCAATTTTGAGCGACGCAAGATATTTAGCCGGAGATGGAACGTTCGGCGCTGCTTATTCGCAAGAAGATGGCGTCGAGTTCAAAGAGGAGAGCGACGTTTATGGAAACCGTCGTGGGTCTTACTCCTACGTCGATCCGACGGGTCAGAGACGTACGGTAACGTACACTGCTGGTAAAAATGGCTTCCAGGTGTGTAGAATATCTGAATAATTTCTTTCTTTAATAACCAATTCATAGTAATTGATATATAAACTTATTCTTGAAAGTAAAGCTTAGGCATAAAAATTTCATGGTTTCATATTGAATGATAGAATACAAGCTAAGCCTTCAAGTATCTAAATAATTAGAATTTTAAATAATAAACTTATAGTAAATTTACCACTTAAAATAATTCTCTACTAATTTTAATTCTGAAGTTATCAACTATTAGAAAGTTTAACATCAATATAAAGATCAAACATATTAATTTTAAAATTAAAATATCAATTATGACTGTGCAGGCCACCGGAGACGGTATTCCTGTACCACCTCCCCAAGCACCACCCCAACCAGAATACGTTCCTCTCCCCCAATACAATCCACCCGATTATCAGCCACCAAGATACAATCCACCTCCTCCACAATATCAACGTCCGAATCAACCAGTGTACGAAGTGGAGCCTGAACCTCAGCCTCAACCTCAACCTCTACCTCAACCACGACCGCAACCAGTATATCAGCCTCAGCCGCAATATCAGTACAGACCTGAACCCGAGATACAATCTATACCTTCATATCACAACCCTCGGCCACAGTATCAACCCCCTGCGAGGCCATTACCCCAGTACAACGCGATCACAACGCCTGCACCTCGAAGATTTTATCCGCCTGGCAAGCTGAACTTCAACAGGACTCCGGATGGCTACTCTTACACCTTCAGTAAAGCTAAGTGAAAAATTTTATTGTGATGTGGGAGATTTCTGTGTAGTTCCGCAGATAAATGCATCGTCATCATTTGACACTTTGGCATCATTTGACAAATTTGGCACCATTTGATAAATTTGACATCATTCGACTAATTACTAAAATATCTTTGATATGTTGACTAGCTTTTTTTTGGTGTTTTTTCGATGCACAATTTAACATCTGAATTATTATTAATTATAAATTTTGCGAGGTATAGTTTTGTTATAAATTATTGAGGTACAGTTTTGTTATACCTCAGATTGCTCGTTGAACAAGATCTTTAGATAAACTTTAAGAAACATTCTAAATAATGACACAGAACCATATTTGCAAATATCATATTTTTATGTACAGCAATATTTTCTATATTGTCAATTTCTATATTCCTATATTTCTATATTGTCAATTTCTATATTCCTATATTTCTATATTGTCAATTTCTATATTGTCTAAAATTTTCTCCTTGTCCCAAAATTGCCCTATTTTCATTATAAATGCACATTCCTCCATCTTTTTAATGTAGTTTTGAAAATTAATATTGTGTTAATAATTTACTAAACATTCAAATTTATCAGTATTACCATGTTGTAAACATTTGAAAAAGTGATATTTAATAAATAATTCTTAAGAATCTTCTATAAAAATAATTTTGAAAATCATGCAAATATTAATGAGCAAAGTTAAAATATAACTTCCAATCATAAACACATATCGGAATAATTTGTTATAGCATCCCTTATCATTTTCTCACCGTCGTAAAACACAATTCCGCTAATTTCGATATTAAAGACACAAATAGACACATAATAAATTTAATCACCAACTCGGTAATAGGTAATTTATTACCTGTTAGTTATCAAAAATCTATGACCGCGTGAAGACCGCATGATGAATAACCCTGGCGGAAATAATGATTGGGTATTGAATTATTCATACGGTCATGCATTTATAATTAAGATATTGTGGGTTAGCAGAGCCTTGTCCATAATCTTATCACAGTGTTCGATGTGAAACAAGTTAAACTTCCTGAAAGACAGTTTTGCATAAATTCCTTTGGAAGTGTAAGGAATTAATTATTTCATTTTCCTGCTTTATATGCTGAGCGTATAAATTTCCCTAATTTTATCGTCTAATTTATTCATAAGCAATTAACGTTCTAAAATAAAAGACACACGAAAGAAAAGAGTAATCGAATATTGAAAAACATAATTGACAAGAATTTTTGAGAGCTACAGTTTCAAAATAAGAAAATTGTCAAATATTAAAATATGTCATTTTACATAAAAATATGTATTTTTACAGAGATTAGTATTTCTGTTTGTATTCGATTGGTTGACGCCCTAAGTTTTACAAAGCAATTTCTTTTATAAATGTAACCACTATCCCGCGCACTTTGGGGTCACGTTACTTTCATTTAGCGACCTTTGGAGTTCATGGTATTGCAACAAACGGGGATCCCACGATCTAAAATGGAGGATAGGTGATCGTTACCCCATAAATCACGTTGAATCTCATACATGTAACTTGTCTAATATAAGAAGCTCACAGTGATCATTGTGTTTAATGGTAGCTTAAGGTGTTATTTAATCCGTTAACTGTGTCCGACTATACACGTCGAAAACATTATTTCAGTGCAATTGTAAATTATAAATTTTTTATGTGATGCAAATGTAATTCTACTTTGTTTTATTTTTTTCTAAAATTTTTGTATATTTTTTTTTTAGATTTTATAATAGATTTTACTGAGATTTTCCCGAGACGTGTATAGTCGACATTGTTTTATTTTAATTATCCATTGAGAAATTTTTCAAATTTCACAGTTAACTGGTTAACTATTGCGTTTTTAAATGAATAGAAATTTAGATTCAATTGTCTCAAATTAATATTCATGTTTATTATTATTGGACTAATTTGTTATACTATTAATTTGTTATATTTGTTATAATTTGTATAAGAATTGTGAAATGTAAAATATTTACAAGAAATTCTGAAAATTAAAATTTGATAATTCCCGATGTACTTAACAAAAACAGGAAAATTATAGTTAAAAGAAAATAGTTACAATAAAAACAAAAAAAATACACAGTATATAATGAAAATTGTATAATAATCTTCAGTATTTAAGATAGATATAATTCAACTGTTTAATGTAAAAAAATTAAAGCTTGTATAAATGATGTATAAAAATAATTTGTATCGATACAATATTTATAATCTTAAGTAATTATTATATTAATTATCTATAATAGTAATTACCTCAAATTTAATAGCGTAAAGAAATAATATCAAAATACGTATGTTTTATTGCCATATACGACATATTTAAAACATAATCCGTTACTAAAAAAGTGATCTTTAAATAAATTTTGTACCTGTGATTACTCGATATGTGTAACTGTTACAGTTGTTACAATTGAACTATTTATTATAGAACAAAATTAAAGTGTTACTGTACAAAGTTAATTTAATAAATGAATTCGAAGATAAAAATTGAGTAAACAACTTTTGTCTACAAAACTTGTTTCATTTCATCCCCTGTTTTAATGTGTTTATTACATCCCCTAAATGCAAACTTCTTTGCGTACATAACCTATAAAATATTTGTCCTTTACCCTTTCAGTATAAATTACTCTAACATCCTAATGTACTGAGAACTAATAATAAATTCAAGGTAAACTAGAATATACACCATACTTATTGTTGGACAATCTTCATTACGTCCATTTTGTTTTTCCATTACTGAAAACCGAAAGTGTTCAATTTCATTCACCTAACTTTCCCGATATTACGAAATTAAATCACATGATACGTATAATATCAAACAGCAATTTCCACCGTCTCAATTAACGTGTTAAAACGTGGAAAACTTAATTACAACTCGGTAAAATAACACGGTAGCGGGCGTAACACGGATGCAGTTCGACAGAAATGTAGCCGGTGCAAACACGTTGCATCCGGCACGGCTGCACCCGTTTTGCCATAAATTAAATCCATGATCAACTTTCTTAAACGACATCGACGTGACGCGAAACGTTACGGTATGCATTTCTTTCGGCCCACCTCTAAGGTTATTGAGTTCCTGCTTCGATACGGCCGGTTCGCCTTGTATTGCCGCGCCCGTATTACGAACACCGGTAAATGAACGCCCGGTCAAACTGCATTTTTCCCTTGGTTCAGCTGCACCGGTATTATTCGCGAGCCTGGATAATGAGATAATCGTCCCTTTGTTTCGAGCTTTCCTTCCGTTTCGATTTCAACGGGAGACGCACTACTTGCGTCCGATATTGTGTATCATCCGCAAAACATTTTGGTTGGCGAGACATTTTATTGACATCTTGTTTTATTGACAATGTTTTATCTTATTAACATTGCATTTGTTTTATTGGCATGTGTATTTTTAGTTTATTTTATTGGTACAATGTAGCTTTTTATTTTATTTTATTTGCTATCTGTATGTCACTGTGATCATCGTATGTCATCGTCATGTGTGTATTTATGTATGTAAGTATGTACGTATATATGTATGTAGATATGTACGGATGTATTTATGTATTTATGTATGTATGTATTTATGTATGTATGTATGTATGTTGTATGTATGTATGTATGTATGTATGTATGTATGCACATATGTATGTATGTATGTATGTACATATGTAAGTATGCACATATGTATGTATGTATGTATGTACATATGTAAGTATGCACATATGTATGTATGTATGTATGTACATATGTAAGTATGCACATATGTATGTATGTATGTATGTACATATGTAAGTATGCACATATGTATGTATGTATGTATGTACATATGTAAGTATGCACATATGTATGTATGTATGTATGTACATATGTAAGTATGCACATATGTATGTATGTATGTATGTACATATGTAAGTATGCACATATGTATGTATGTATGTATGTACATATGTAAGTATGCACATATGTATGTATGTATGTATGTACATATGTAAGTATGCACATATGTATGTATGTATGTATGTACATATGTAAGTATGCACATATGTATGTATGTATGTATGTACATATGTAAGTATGCACATATGTATATATTTATTATATTTTATTAATTCATGTATGCTATTATATTAGTGTATTAATACCATGCATATTTTTATTTCATTTTACTAATACTCTGTATGGTTTTGTTTTATTTTACAAACACCATGTGTGTTTTCATTTTATTAACATCATGTATGTTATTTAATTTCACATTTACCATTTGACTTGATCCACCAATTAAAAATAGGTACTGTTTAAAAAAGTCAATAGTTCAAATTGACAATCTATAGTTATTAATTAATTGTACATGTAATGCATCAAAATGGAGAAGCAAACAATGTTCGCAATTAACAACAAAGTAACTTCAAAAGAATTGATGCAAAACTTTTGATGTAATTCGAAAGATAAATAATTTAAGAGGGGATTACTTTTTCAGTCGTGTTTTATTTATAAAGGTATATTGGTTATACATTTGTTTTATGATTATGGCAGTAACATACTGACTCTGATTAGCTGCGCGCGACATCAACAGTATAAAAGTAGTCTAAAACAGCTGCTATTTAGAGGCAGTGGCATCGAATATTCACTCCTCAACAAAAGGGAAAAAAAATACAAAAAAAAAGAGAGAAGAAAAAAATCATAGGAAAGAAAAACAGATATCACCTTATTTCTATAATCTAATATTTATTATATTTTATTAATTCATGTATGCTATTATATTAGTGTATTAATACCATGCATATTTTTATTTCATTTTACTAATACTCTGTATGGTTTTGTTTTATTTTACAAACACCATGTGTGTTTTCATTTTATTAACATCATGTATGTTATTTAATTTCACATTTACCATTTGACTTGATCCACCAATTAAAAATAGGTACTGTTTAAAAAAGTCAATAGTTCAAATTGACAATCTATAGTTATTAATTAATTGTACATGTAATGCATCAAAATGGAGAAGCAAACAATGTTCGCAATTAACAACAAAGTAACTTCAAAAGAATTGATGCAAAACTTTTGATGTAATTCGAAAGATAAATAATTTAAGAGGGGATTACTTTTTCAGTCGTGTTTTATTTATAAAGGTATATTGGTTATACATTTGTTTTATGATTATGGCAGTAACATACTGACTCTGATTAGCTGCGCGCGACATCAACAGTATAAAAGTAGTCTAAAACAGCTGCTATTTAGAGGCAGTGGCATCGAATATTCACTCCTCAACAAAAGGGAAAAAAAATACAAAAAAAAAGAGAGAAGAAAAAAATCATAGGAAAGAAAAACAGATATCACCTTATTTCTATAATCTAACTTATCGTACATTTTCATTTCATCCTTCTCTTTTTTTCCATGCCAATGTGCCTCCTCAACACGTTGCAATTTTCGAGTGATCAGAGCGAAGTCGGATTTCAAGTCCCAGAGAAAAGGCACTATACGTCTATCAAATATAGTATTTCACTCTGATCGTTCACAGAGTACTACAATATAAATCATTACGCTTTTACATCGTCATTTTGCACGAGATACTCTTCAGAAAGATATAATTCAGATTACGCTTGAGCAGTGATGGGCGATTAAATATGGCGCGAAGGGAGACATATTTGAAATCTCCATATTTTAAAATTTTCACGTTTGCTGATTTCTGCGTTTATCGTACTTTTTTTAGGCTTGATTTTGACAAGTTTGAAAATTTGGAAGATGGAGGTTGGAAGTCTGAAATTTTTAAAATTAGAGATTTTCATGTTGAAACATTAGTTTCTCAATTTCTGAGTTATTAAATTCTTCAACTTGTACATTACAGATTTGGCAAGCTAAAATTTGTGTGTTTGTAAATTTTGTAATTTTTAACTTTGCAAAATTGTACTTCTGTGAATTTGTAAATTTGCAAATTTTATATCTCTAAATTTTTTAGTTTTAACTTTGCAAAATTTTACATGTGTGAGTTTGTAAATTTGAAACTTTGAAAATTTTATATCTCCAAATTTTTTATTTCTTAACTTTGCAAAATTGAACATGTGTGAGATTATAAATTTCCAAATATGAAAATTTTTACATCTGAAAATTCTGTATCTCTACATTTTGTAACTTTTAGCTTTCCAAAATTATACACCTATGAGTTTCTAAATTTTACAAATTACAAATATAAAAATTCTAAATTTCTATATTAATAAATTTAGCTTGTCAAAATGATAAACCTGCAAATTAAAAAATTTGAAAAGTCAACATCCCACAATTCGAAATTTCCAAACTTGCAAATTTTCAATTCATAAAATATCTTTGACAAGATCCCATCACTGATTCCCAGTATTTCTGCAATCTAATTTCCATTCTTCTACGACATGCATATGGCAAACATTTACATACTTGAACATGCTACTTCCTTTTTTCCTTTTTGTTCCTGAAAATCAGACTGCGAATCAGTTTTAATTGTACCTTCATGCTGGTTACACTCCTTAATTGTATGTTCCCGATAGGTATCATTGTCTCGTGATCAGACGCGATACAGGAATATCAAAAAGGAGAAAATTCTTGCGCACACAATAAAAATGATTTCGAAATATAACATTCTTGACCGAACGCTTTGTTATTCTAAATACGTACAAACTACGTAAAAAATGTCCTCATAATTGCGTTAATACGAAAGGCCGGCATTTTTTACTCGTTTTTTTGTCATTTTTTAATCTCTTTACAACGTTGCTAAATCGCTATAAACGACGCTTACATTGAATCTTTTTTTCTTCTAAGATTCGCACACTTTTTTGTTTTTGTCCTTTGTACGGAGTGTGTAGCAAAGATGGCGCCGAAATCGATATTCATAGTATTTAATTTTCAAGTTTAGAGAAGTTCAATTTTAGAAGTTCAAAATTTTAGTCAATTTTTAAATTTTTTAAATTAAACACTCTTCTATTATAATTGCAATTTGAAAAACAGAAGATTCTCAAATAATTTTCTATGTATAAAAAGGAAGACAAAATTACAATTATACATTTCTTGAAACTAGTGATAACAATGCAAATTTTGCATCAATAACGAATCGTAAAACTTAAAACCGATTGCCCAGAATTTTCAAATAAATACAGAATAAAATACCTTTGAATTCATCACAATGTTAAATAAATTCGTAATCAACAGCTGCCTTAAAATTCGATGACAAATTTTGAAACTCGTCACAGAATATAGAATCGTATTTTTGTATCAACGAATATTTTTACAAATATTTTCATGATCTTTGTAAATATTCTTGCATCTTTTCCGAACACTCTGTACAATTTTTCTCCGCAACAATTGCAACTATTGTCAATTCGTTTAACACTATATTGCACTAGTTAGAATTATACAAAATATATACCTAACGGGTAGGCTTAGCTTTTTGAAGTATACCATTTTAGGCACCGTTGTCCCGGAAGTTTAATTTGGATCGAAAAGAAGCCGGAAGTGGGATTGTACGTGAGGCAGGAGGCACGGCAGTTTCGCAACACGATGGTTATCTAAACTTCTATTCTAAAGACGAGAGGAGATAAGCGCTGTACAAGCGAATTCTATCAAGTTTAATCGGTAAGAGACAGTTTGTTCACAATGCAGTCTCTCGATGAAACAATAACATTGTTTCGCGACGTAATGTTAAAACAAGAGAGATTAAATGGGATGTTTGATTATTGTCCTCCGATGTTTCAACAATGAGATACTCGATATTTTTTTATGGAGGCATCATTCGAATAATTGGCAAAGTCTTAAACTATTATAAGTTTAAATAGTTTTAAACTATTTATAAATTTTTTGTATGTTTCATTTACCTCAATTTTAAAAAAAATTCTAATACATTTATTAGTTTAATAATTTGTAAATTTGACAACTTATAACTTTGAAAAATTTCTAAATTTCAGAATTTGTGATTTTTTAAATTTGAAAATGTATACATTTGTAAATTTAGGTTTTCTGATTTAAAACTTTGTAAATTACTAAATTCAGAAATTTAATAATTTGTAATTCTGTAAATTTGTTTGTAAATTTTATAGCTTGTAACTCCATAAATTTAAAAACCTTAAAAGTAAGTTTATACATTCTACAATTTTTAGATTAAAAAATTTCTAAATTTTATAAATTTAGTACAGCAATTTCAAAAATACAGAACATTTCTCCTTTTTTTTCAATGTGTTTGAAAATTATTCGAATAACGCCTTCCTTTTACCTTGTGTGACAAATAGGAACGAAATACTTCTAATTAAACTATAAAGAATCTAAATTTACACGTTTTTAAATTTAAAAACATCAATTATCGCAACAAGTAAAAAAATCTTAAAATTGATTAAAATAATACGCATGTCAGTCAGAAAAGTTGCCATCTTTAAAATTGTATGACTTCTATAGAAATTATGGGACAATTTAGTTCTTATAATTATAGTATAATTTAATACTATGTTCATTACAAATATCCTATGTAAAAAAAGTCATGAATTTATTATGTTTGTCAAATATATGAATTGTACATTTCATACGAAAATATCTCATCACTTTTCTTTAAATCCACTTTCTCACTACTATCATTTGTACAAAATAGTTCATCAACTACAAAACAGTTCTCGAAATTGAAAAAATTATTTGTTTCAGTAACAAAAATAATTTGCCATCTTTCAACGAATGAACAACACAACAGAAAAATATCAAATATACAAATAAATGAAGATCATCTTAGTTTCCGCACATAACTCCAACATCAATATTAATAAAAATTTGTCTCTGATTTAAATTTTCTCAATTTTAAAATAAAATAAATTTTGTTCATTTGGTAACTTTTCTGACCGACCTTATAATTCCCTTTTCTGTCAATAATGTACCTTCATAAAATAAATCAAATTTCTTCCCTAGTTAAGTACATATTCAGATAGACACCAAGGATCAATAACAATAGCAAAGACTTCATACGATTAAAATAGTAATTAAAGATAAAAAATCACTTGTCTAAATTCGATAAGGATATAAACATCTGTAGATGTTTTCATCGGTAATATTGTCAACACTTACGCTATACAACAGTAAAAACTACATGTTTGGTATTACAAATCGATAATGCGGCTAATAATACACTGCCTTTGGAAGATCATCGAGCTTAAAAGAGGAGAAGAAAAGAATCACATAATCAAGAAATATGCTCTTACAATGTTGATACACTTTATGTGTAACTACCATAATGATCATATAAATGATGTAAAAAAGAGAACGTGTTCGCTTACTTATAATTTAAACGAACTATATAATATTATCGCAAGAGTTACCAGTAATTGTAACATATTAGCATGATGTTAAAGTAACAATGTAATTATAAAAATAGTTATTTAGAAATTAAAATGAACAGATACGATAGCATTGAGAACAAACCTGTACATCTGATATTGCGGATACTGCTAATGGCTAAAAACGGCGGGAAGCTAGCTATGTAGGAACGTATACTATTAAGTAATCACACTTAAATACTGACGCAATAGTGAAATTATGGTGTAAATCAGTATCGCGTCAATACCTAAATATTTTATGAATAACGTATTATGTCTTCGTTACACAGAGTACAGTAGAATGCGTGGTACAGGCGAGGAAATGATGATACCTTGTGCAACACTACACAGAAATTATGAAACAAAATGTGGTTTTCATTTTGAACTAAGTTTTCAAGAAAAATAGTTTTAAAACTTTATTAATTACATGATAAAAAATAGGTAAAATTTCCTAACCTAATTCAAACCTAACCTTCACTTTCGTCCCCAGAAAGATTCAAAAAATCCTCCAATTACTTATAAAAAAAAAAGTCGTCATGAATTCAAAAATTCCCTCGAAACCCAAGCTTCAAAAGAAAACTATTTATTTCATAATTTCGATTTAGTTTCGCACGAAATATCCTTTTTCTTTCTTGTAGCACGAATTTCCAGCACCCTTCATGCATCGTGGGATACACAGTAGTACCTTTATGATCATTCAAGTTCTATACACTTTTTTCGTTGGTTGATATGTTGCGTCAAGTAAAAAATATTCTTCTTTCTTGTCAGATGCGAGCCTTTGTATTGACTTATTTCCAGTAATCGAGAGACTAAATACCATTGGCATAACTAGATAAGGAACAGAAAGGTTCCCTCCCCTGATGATCTAGCACGTGGCGATGTAACATGGTAATCCAAGGCTGATCCCATTCGGACAGAACTACCAGTGAATGCTTCATACGAACGTGTAATATGCAAATGACTGATTAATACAAAATAAACGCAAACTAATATTTGTACATGAATATACTACTGTGCATCTCCTGCTAATAAATCAGTATATTCATTACAATCACAATATGCATGACACCCTATGTAAAAGTCCTGGTCGAAATGGAGTAGTGAACTTGTACTATGGTAAGACACGAATCGATGGCGTGTAATTACAGGAAGGATAATTCTAGCTGCATAATCCCGAAGGATCGACCAATCCGCGTGCGATCAGTTCCGCGGTTGCGGGATCGCTGCCTTGTTTACCGCTCGAATGCTGAGGCGGTGTTTGCTGCGCGTGAGGTTCGAAATGGGAACGTACGTGGAACATAAATTCAGCCTTATCTGTAAAATCTGTGCGACACATCAGACAGAAATGCCTCTCGGACGCGTACGGTTGCGGTGGGGGCGCAGATCCTGGAAAATATGGCGCTGCATGCTGTGGTGGAGCGGATGCTTCTAAATGAGATCTGCAACAATAACAGAGAATACTTAAATTACAATACATCATTCTATAAATCATACATTTACTGCTGTTTAATTAAACTCTGCATTTTAAGTTTTGCTACAGATATAACCTTTGTACACAACTCATCAAAAATTTGAACACATGTAACATAGTATCAAACTTTTTGATCCTGTTATAAATATGCATCAAGTATAATAATTCAGTTTATGAAAATATAAACTTTATGAAGCAATTAATACAGAAAAATTTCTATGCTACAACTTAGCACATATGAAGTAATTATTAAAATGCAACAGGTCAACAAATATATTTCTTTTTCATCAATCTGGTAAGTACATGTTTTAACCGATGTACACAAAAATCACAGCAATTATTCTGAGTTCCGTTCTCCTTAAGTGCACTATTATTGAAAGAAGAGGATAATTGACCCTTGAATCACAACCTGTCAATATAAATAAATTACCTAGCATGCTGCATCCATTCCTCCCTCGTAGCTAATGCCCGACCGCACAATTCGCATGCCCAACTAACCGGCTCCTCCTTCAGCTTATGTATAGTATCTTGACGTGCTTGTGGTTGTTGCGGTGGTTGCTGTTGTTGCTGCTGCTGCTGTTGCTGAGCTTGTTGCTGCTGCTGTTGTTGTTGCTGCTGCTGCTGCTGCTGTTGCTGTTGATCCGAATTCGGAGCTGTCGGTGTAGAGAGTGGCGCTACACCCGGTCGATGTCTGAGCTTGTTCATGTGAATAACCAGCTTGTCTCTGCGAGCGAATGCCTTTCCTGAACACGCAAGAACCATCGCAAGATTAATTAAACCGAAACAACCAAGTGGTTAAAACATAAAGGAAACAGTGTCCGAGCTCACCGCAAACTTCGCAAGAGTACGGCTTTTCTCCGGTGTGGATGCGCATGTGAATGACGAGTTTGTCTTTGCGTGCTAAGCCTTTGCCGCACACGGTGCAAGCGAACGCCTTTGTCGCCGGTTCTCCCGTATTGGTGGCTTTCGATGCAAATCCTGGACGAGAGGTTACGTTGTTTGTTGTCCTCAAGGGCTGATTTACTGTCGGGGCTCTGCTACCAAACTGTTGATCCATCGCGCCGGGAAACGGAGGCATCACTCCACCGGGCCGCATCGCTGCCGAGTAATCTGGAGACCTGTTTCAAATTTAATCGACATTACTGATGTTTCTTCGAGTCGATATCGAACAAAAATTATTCACCAGGTTCCGATAGAACGAAGCACCCGCACGCCATCGTCGTAGCCCAAACCATCGTCGGGAAGAGTGAACGTTGGATTAGGTGTCTGAGGGGTTGCAGGTGGTCCAGGTCCAGCCAGTCTCGCTTGTGCAGCTTGTTGTGCCATGTGTTGCTGCACTGCAGCATGGGCCACTGCATGTGCCTCCACGTAGGCCGATCGTTGCTGTTGCTGCTGACTACCATTAGACATCTTGTCTTTGTCCGTGCCCTGTTAATCGTTGATTTACCCTTATTACACTTTCTAGCGGCGTCGATTTACGAGCAACTTTCTTTGAGGAACCAAACTGTTATGCAAAGATTGATTACATAAATTAAATGGTTGGGTGCTGGTAATTCGCTTTGGAGAGATTAAGGAAATTTACCGTTCATTATGCAACTTTTCCTTCGAAATGTTAGTGCGCGAATTTATCAATAATTAGGCAATATTTGGTTTCGCAGATAGCTCCGCAACGATTACGCAGAACATACTTCAAAGTAAGATTACGAATTGACAATATCAAAAATTGTATGATTGGCTCGGCAAACAAGAGCACGATTTTAACGCTTACATCGACAAAGGAAAATTGAAACAATGACAACGCTGGCAATGACAAACAATGACAAGAATATACGATCGACGTAATTGTAAAATTAAAAGCCGTTCGTAACAAGAGACAATATTTCACGACGGTTCTATCAATTCGCACACAAAAGCGTAGCAGCTTCCAAGCCGATATGGGAAAACGATTAATCACAGGGAATAGAACGGAGCAGAGCTGGCACAGAAGCGAACTCAGTGCCAAATATCTATTAACGATAATCGATATTTAGCAGAAACTCAGTTTCAAGTATTTGTTCGTGCAAATGAAACTTCTACGTTTCTGCACGGTACAGGAAACGACTAAATATTCTATCTCGAAAGTTTTCAAATTTCGACGATACAGAACATTCTCGATAATCAATCGCGTAATCCATTGAAGCTTTAATTTCGAGGAAACTATCTGAAAATTGAACGAAAGTTATTGTAGAAAAAAATGGCCATAAAAATAGGTAATTAAGTCTACGATAATTTCGTCCACGTGACATTCGTTCACGAAGGACTAGTCGTAAAGGGAGACGGTGCACGTATCACCGAGAAGCATCACAGAAGTCTGTATCCCCCTGAGACGACATCGAATACATAAAAGACAGGGACTTTCGAAGGAGCCGAAAAGATTTCTCCACGCAGGCTGCTTCGTCAAGGTCCTCTCGGGAAAGAACGATGACCGAAAAGAGAGAGACGGTAAACGAGCACAAGAGAGGAACGAACGAGCTGAGCCGAAAGGGAGAGAAAGAGAGGAAAGAGCTAAACTTACAGAGCCAGACACGAAGCTTCTCACAAAAGACGAGCAAACGTTATCGGTCCGATCTCCTGGCTCACGTACCCACACTTTGCTCCACTGGTGAGTAAAAGCGTAACTCCCGATGTCCTCCTGGAGGTATAATATCACTGACGCCTTCACTAACCGGTAACTCAACGACACGTAACAAGCGGTGTCCCACCGGTACTCATGCCAGCGGGAATTACCGTAAACTGGATAAAGAAAATGGAGAAACCGCGCGATTGACGAGTCGAGGGACACCCTGGAGGCTAAGCCCGGTGGCGAACTCGAGCGCGATCACGCGTGTTCCTTCTTTTCGCGGCGTCACGAAAGAATCTCGCGTTTTACGGGGCAACCGGAGTGTGTCCCGCGGAGCTAGCCGCCG